GTTGCCAGGTGATCGGTTCACAGATGCTAAGCTCAGGAGGCTGTTAAATATTGTGAAGATGTTAAATATTGTTTCTTTCCTCTGGCCAAATACCTGTTTCCATAAAATTTCAGGGACTGTGATGTTCTCTGGGGGTTGCCAGAGGTGATAGCAAGTGCTGCACAGCTTCTACTTAATAGCTTCTCCTGCTCTTCGTGGGCAGAAGAGGGGGGCAATGTCTCCTGCGGAAGGGGAGCAGATGGGATCGGGGTTGGGGTGATGCTTACGTGATGTCTGTCCCCAGCCGTCCTTTGAGGCTTACTTCACCGAGATCCTCCTCTGCAAGAACGAGCTCAATGACACCCTGAACAACCTGTCCCACTGGATGAAGGACGAGCACGTGGACAAGAATCTGGTAAGGCAGAATCTCTGGGCTGACCTGGGAAGGGAAGAGGGGGAGATGAATTGCTGGTGGCAAGGGGCAGAGCGGGTTGGGGAGGAGGGCCGCACTGTGTGCTGGGCTGAGGCAGGGCAGGAGGCGGTGGGAACAGCGTCGAGGTTGTGGCCTTTCTCGCAGGTGACGCAGCTGGACTCAGCCTTCATCCGCAAGGACCCGTATGGGGTAGTGCTCATCATCGCACCCTGGAACTACCCCATCCACCTCTTCCTGGTGCCCCTCATCGGGGCCATCGCTGCCGGTGAGCCAAACCTGTCCTCTGGCCTGGAGGATCCAGGCAGTGCCAGGCATCGGCGAGGGGGACTAGCCGAGGGCCTGGTCCACAGGCTGGGGTGCCAGAAGGGCTGCTGTCACCATGTCACTGCTCTAATGTCCTGTCAATCTCCCCCCAGGTAACTGTGTCATTGTCAAACCCTCGGAGATAGCCAAGAACACTGAGAGACTTGTTGCTGAAATGCTGAGCTGCTACCTGGACAATGTAAGAAGCTCTTCCTGTCCTTGTCCCTGTCCCTGCCCCAGGGCCATGGTGTTTCCAACCCTGCCTTGCCCACACCAGCACCACACCATCCCCAGTCTCATCTGCTGCCGTACCTCCTTCCTCTACGCTCAGCCGGTGTCCACACACCCAGCCCACTGGGATGCTGTTGGTGGGGACGGGGACACAGTGGCCTGGGCAGATGCTGACAGCAAGGGACCTTTCTTCTTATGTTGCAGGACTGCTTTGCTGTGGTGACAGCCGGTGTGCAGGAGACCACCAGACTGCTGGAGAACAAGTTCGACTACATCTTCTTCACTGGTACGTCCTGGGAGCCAGAGCAGAGCCCTGCTTGGTTTTTGTGCAATGAGGAAGAGGAATTCCCTCTGGACCCACCGCTGTGGCTTACCCTGCCCATCAACGTGAGATGGTGGGCAGCCTGCCTGCAAACAGGACCCCTTCCCTGCCCTCTAAGAAGGCAGGCCTCATCGTGTTGGGAATCTGGTGTCGGGATCTGGGAGGATCTGGGATGTGGGTGTCTGAGGGTCTGGTGGGACTTGGCGCATTTCCCCTGGACCTGCCTTCCCAGAGTGCCACATCCCAGAACTGTGCTGTACCTGGTGGGATCCTTGCCATGATCCATCTCTTCCCGGCCCACAGGCAGCCCCTCCGTGGGGAGGATCATAATGACGGCTGCTGCCAAGCACCTGACGCCCGTGACGCTGGAGCTGGGGGGCAAGAACCCCTGCTATGTGTCTGACACCTGCGAAGTGCAGAACGTGGCCCGGCGGGTGGCTTGGGGACGCTTCTTCAACGCAGGGCAGACCTGCGTGGCGCCCGACTACGTGCTGTGCAGCGTGGAGATGCAGGAGAAGCTGATGCCCGCCCTGCGCGAGGCCATCACTGAGTTTTTTGGATCCAACCCCCGGGAATCCCCCGACTTCGGCCGCATCGTGGGGGACAAGCAGTTCCGCCGCATCCGGGCGCTGCTGTGCAGCGGGCGCGTGGCCATCGGAGGACAGACGGATGAGAAGGAGCGCTATATCGGTGAGGGCCTGGGGCCCGGGGCTTGTGGGACCACCTGTGCCTGCGCACCTGGTGATGCCTTGCCATAACCCCTCTCCACAGCTCCCACTGTGCTGGCGGACGTGCTGCCCTCTGATCCTGCCATGCAGGAGGAGATCTTCGGGCCCATCCTGCCCATTGTCGTTGTGGCCAACATGGATGAAGCCATTGACTTTATCAACGCGCGGCCGCGGCCGTTGGCCATCTACGCCTTCTCCTGTGATAGCAAGGTGCATGTGGTTCACGGACCAGAAAAGGGGGTGAGGGAAGTGGGGCAGCAGGGCTTGTGCCCACCTCAGTGACACCCCAGGCATGCTCTGAAGGGTCGTTTGAGCCCACCCGCTCTGGGCACATGGGACTGGTGGATGATTTGGATGATGTTTGACCAGTGCTGCCCCTGAGCCAGGATGCAAGACCCACATCCCCTTCTCTGCTTCCCTCCCAGGTGGTGAACCAGGTCCTGGAGCGGACAAGCAGCGGTGGCTTCTGTGGCAACGACACCCTGATGCACACGGCGTTGACCTCACTGCCCTTCGGTGGGATTGGTAGGTCCAAATCCCCCAACTTGCCTGCCCCTGGCCATCATGAGCCAGGCGTGATCCTACCTGCAGTGCCTGAGTCATGCTGGCCATGGTGAGGAAGGATCTCAGGGGACACAGGGCACCCAGGCTGGGGTCCCAGGTCCAGAGGGCTCAATGG